CCTGGCTCCCACATATGAAAATGAAAAATGACAATTTCTGGATTTCAAATTATAGCTGTCTGACAAAGTTGCATTTATGTTTTCCATTAAGAGAATTTTTGGAATTAATGTATTATATTAAAAAAAATCACTTTCAGAAAAAAAAAAAAATTAAATGCATAAAGTTCAGGGAAAATTAGTGCCACCAAGATACCCAACTGAAGTTAAACGTTAATTTGTAACACCTCTGTCTTTATATTTTGCAAATATACATTTCATTATACTTAACATGGAAGATGGACTATACATGACTCCCTAGTCTATATTTACAAATGTAGAAACTTTAAAGAAAGTACAGCAACATGTCAAAATTATTTGGAGACTAAAGAAAATTCCTTACATGGGGTGCTAAAGAAGCTTTGTTTTCTCAAAAATAAATGGAATGGTGATTTGATTACACAGAAAATATCTTTAAACATCTCTTTAATGCAGACATGACAAAGACTATTTTTTGGAAGATCAAGCTACAAGCTCAAGGGTAAAGAATAATTTTTTGAAATTTCAGGTAACACTGGAATAATCAAGCAGACCTATGAAGTCTATTGTTGATGTCTTTCAAGTGGAAACTATGCTTCTGTGAAAGAAACACCTAGCCAAAGTGCAGGCTTATTGAGAGAAATAATGATGTGCTGCTTAATGCAGGAGGTCAGAAGTATATGGTGTTTGTTCTCCACTGTTTAAATTCCAAGCGATGCTAGGATAGCATTCATACTTTCTATTTTTTTCTTGGTGAGGGACTTTTCTGAGTAACACGTGACTGCTTTCTGAAGCTGCTCATGTAATTTGAGTGATGGTGTAATACTATCAAGTTGCTGTAGCAGTAATGTGCTACTCCTAGTTCCTGAAAGCAACAAAAGGGAGACTGAAAAATGAAGAGGAAATTGAATCTATTGTCCAATTCTGCCAGTGACCAGAGCTACAAATGAAGTCTCTTCCTTAGCAAGGCCTCCTAACTAACACAAATCACTTTGTTAAAGTTACAGAAAAAAACAAAAAACACATCTAAAGTTACTAGTGGTACAGCAAAGAGATCTACTGGCCTTTTCACAAGAACTGCAAAAGTTTGTGATGACTGTTGATGTTAACTTGGGTTAACTCAAAATAATTTATAAGATGAAAATTAGTAAGTAAAATAACAGGCAAGAAACATTTACAAGTATTTTTTGTTACTAAATTCTAGAAAACATGAAAAATGCTAGAAACAGCACAACTTAGAAACAGCAATTTTTGAGGAAAAAACCAGTTTTGTAACTGATCAGATTTGAAAATGCACCTTGAATACTAAAGAAGGGCAGAAACATAAATTTGGAGAATACAATGAATGAGAATGATTTTTCAGAATAAGATACTAAAAATGAAATATTTCAGTTCTCCAAAAAAAAAAAAAAAATCAGTAGAAAATCCATCTTTTTTTTTGTTCTTTCACTTAGTGTCTACTCCATGATCAAACTAGACCCTCCCCTAGGAAAGTTCATTAGCTAGGCTTAAACTATGCACCTCAAATATAAATGGACCTTGTGTTACATTTTACTGCAAAGACTAATGATCTGACAACCTCAAACTCAGTAATGCTTAACATCTTCCCTTTTTATTATGCAGTTTGGTTTCTATGGCAACATTATTTAGAAAGAAATACAAACACTTGAATCACTGGTGACAAAAACCCCACACTTCAAATTGATAATGGTTTGCTTGAATTTGAAAGCACCTTACAGATTCAAGTGAAGTGAAGATGGACAATATCGTAGAGATAAGATCTATCTATTTCAGATCCTCATCATAAATAGATTTTGCACCTCTGCTTCAATTTTGCAGTTTCTTTCCACTATATTTACTGTCAAATAATTGTTCTTCCATGATTTTATTTTTATTTTTACATTATTGGACAGAAGAACATGAAATATACTTAAAATACATGCACACAGTACCATATAATTCAGCTCACAGAGGAAATGAGAAGGTCCACATGAGCTGCTTTAAAAGCAGTGGGAAAGGGAAGGGAAATTTAAGAAAATCCTGGAACTGAAACATGAAGGACATGTTATTGGTTTTGGTAAAGGGAAAAGTAGAGGCTGAAGGAACAGGTATAACAAAGGAGATGCGAGAAGGTCCCAGTTTGTGGAAAAAGAATGGGAAGTAACAAATTTACTCTTATAAACATAACTAATACTAATAATAATTAATAAATTTAAAAATACTAGACTTCCAGTTCTTTTGTGTTCTTTTGAGTTCTTTTACTGAGAAAATATATATATATATATTTCTACTAAAGCAAAGAAATAATATGCAAACAAATCCAATCTTTATTTATTATTGCACTAGTTTTTCATGGCTGTACCACTTCAAATTTTCAGTGTGTTTGGAGTTTTTTCTTAAGCGACCACAAAGAGCTTTCAGGTTCCCACCTCCCCCATTCTAAATGATCTCTCTATGCTTCATTTCTGTAAACATATTATATTAGTGTACACCACCTTCTGCAAACTCCTTCATCTTTTGGGATACCTTGAAAGCATCCAGAGAAAAGAACTTGACAGAAGGTATTTTGCACACTTCTATCATTAAATTCCATTGCTGAGCTATGTTTGTACCACTGTCTACAAGCCTCAGTTGCTTACCTAAAGCACCAGCTCTGTCATGGATCTTTTACACGTTTCTTTGAGTTTTTGACGTATAATTATCAATAATGTTAATTTTCCTCAGTTCCTTAGATCCTTCTAAGTAGTCAATGATCTCCAGCACACACGCTTAATGATTCTCAATTTGCTATTAATAGTAGCTTAATTTGCAAAAGAACTGAGCATTTAAAAATATTGCTGAACTGGGAATTAAAACTGAGTATGACAATGTACAATGAAACTGGAAAGTGTAAGAAGTTCAGGTTCTCAAAGTTTGGCACTCAAACATATTTATTTTTAAATGTTTTGAAATGCATGATTTATCCCTAATATGTTTTAGTTTGTAGCCCATAAAATGGACACAACCACATCTTTAAAAATGAACAAAATGTTGAAAAAAAATCAAGTGTTACATTTTTTGCTTTAATGTTCAAAAGAGAGCCTATGACTAAACCAGTTCTTCATATAATGTGAAAGAATTGGAGTATCTGCTGGAAGCAGAACAGAGAAACATGACATCTATAATTAAATAACAAGGAATATTTAATAGCCATTAGATATGTGCTGTCCTGTTTGGCATTAAATAGAGCAAAGTTCTTGGTACAAACAGTATGTTACAGTGTAATTTGACTTATTGGAAATGCAAATGTACACGGGAATTGAATGAAAATTGCAAACTGTTATTAATGGTTGGGTGGGGGTGATCAGCAGACTGAGTCTTGTGACTATCTCACGTGCAGTAAGATAAGGATGGATGCTGAGATTCTGAAGTCTACAGCTCCTATTATTTGGATCAAAGCAATTGTGTGGTGGCTTAGATTATAAAACAATCATCACTCCTGATTTTACATCTACTGAAGTGAGATAGCAGTTAAATTTTATGTGTGGATGGGAAATAGCCATGATAAATTTACCAACCCGCTAGTTTCCACTGAGAGAAAAAAAAAAAAAAAAAAAAAAAAAAAAAATTAAAATTAATTTGTAAAAAATTAAAAAAAAAAAAATAAATTTGTATTAGTATGAACCCGGCCCAAAAAAAAAAAAAAAAGAAAAATTCGAACAGAAATGCCTCTAAAAAACAGTTATATTTGTAACTGTTCCTAAATGAGAAGCAGTAAACTGCATATCTGAAGATTCAACACTCCACATAAAAACATGCTAACGCATGATAAAACTGACTATCTGTATCTTCCTAGTATTCTGAATATCTAACTGGGTAACAGTAAGACTTGTAGAAATTATAAAATCCTTAATAAAAACCCATAATCCCATGTTTATATTTGCCATGTAAGTTTTTAATCTACCTTACTCTGTTAACTTTTTCTGAGAGGATTCACTAGTCTTACTTTGAAGTGTAAATAACCTCAGCTTTCAACTTCATGTTTAACTTAAGAGAAAGTCAGTACTATTTTTATAAATTAAAGAAAATAGTGAGGCAAAAATTTGAGTAATGGTCTGTAGGTCTCAAAACTCTCTCTTCAAGAACTGGTCTTACATTATTATTACTATTACTAGAATTATTAAGCTATCCTTTAATAATTCATTGTGTTTGACTAAGGTCAATGATGAATGATATTAAAACCTTCCACTTTAGATAACTGAAATACTAAATATTATGATACCAAAATTAAATATTTTCACAAACTTTTAGGAGCAGAAGAGATTTATAAACTCTCAAGACCAAATAATTTCTTCATATATTAGCATCATAAATATTCATTATCTGTTTCACTGAAATACCCAAGTCAGTAAGTACGGGAAAGAAATGCATAACATACACATATAAATCCGTCAATTACTTCATTATAATAAAATTCTCAATAACCAAACATTTATTTAATGAGTATAACATTGTGTTGCTTTTCTAGCTCATAGCATCTTTTTTTTTTTTTTTTTTTTTTAATATATATACAAATATATATTTATGCTTGGCAGGGACACTGGTGCAATGGCATCTACAACAAAACTTGGGTCATTAGTTCTGGTTTCTAATGTCGTAGGTAATACCCTAAATGCATATACCTTACAAGTAGTAAGACATGGTCTATTCCTACAATAAAACTAAAACTCCTGAGAAACACTAATAATCTTGCACTTAAAATTCCAGTGGAAATGTTGCACAATGACAATATCCACCTCGGTACTGTCAGTCATTAAAACGTTGTCTATGGTTTAAATTGTTAAATCTCCTTCAACTGAAGAGAAACCTGAAATGTCAAAGCTCAGTTCACTGTCAGCATGCTTCATACTCAGCTGCTACCTTTCAATTTTTTATCAGTGCTTAGAAAGAAGTCACACATCAAAGTCAGTAAGCACACACAACAGTTGTTCACAGAGTTTACTCACCCTTTGACCTTCTTTGCCAGGTGGACCTTGGGGACCCTCCAGCCCTGGCAAACCCTGAAAATGCAAACATTAAACAAATATAACATTCACTGTTATTTTCTTTGTCTATTATTTAATACTAGCAAGACTAAACCAAAGAGCCAGATGTCAATACAAAGCATTTGTTTGTAATAATAAAAACAAATTATTTGTAATAACTTCTTTCATGGAAGGTTGCATTCAGGTGTGAGGAAAAAAATGCAACAGTAATTATTAATCATATTCCCCCATATAAAATCATTTGAAAACAAGGAGGTAAATCAACATTACTTAAGCAAAATTGTAAGCACAGTTATCTACTGTTTTGCATGAAGATCTATTTATTTGGTGGAGTTAGGATGCTATAAGAAAGCAAACCACCTATATTAAGTCAGTGACAGCTTTATAACTCAAATTCACACGCAGGCACTGGAAGTGGGGGAAGGGAAAGGAGGGGAGGGAAAGGGACTAAATATAGCAGGCGGCCTTATGCTTTCTTTATTGTAAGAATCAGTTCTATGTAGTTTCCTCTGTGTGCCTGGGCTGGGCTTTTCAAATCATTCAGAGCCACTCTGTCTTTCCCTCTCCTTAGACCAGGTGCAGGAGTTTGGGGTATTTTGAATATACTCTCAACATCTGAGCCTTCCATCCAAACTCAGTGCAAGAGCATGCAAGAGTGACTGCAGTTACAATCACAGGCTGCTTCTGAGGAATGAGGGTTTTAATTTTGTATCTGATTAGTGTACAATATAATCATAAAGTCTTCTCATAACAGCTTTGTGCTTAGAAGGCTGCCCCTTCTCTTAATTTATGAGTCACCTTGGAACTTTTTTTTTTTTTTTTTTTTTTTTTAATGACTTCAAGGAAACTATCCAATTTCCATTATAGCAACAAGAAATATGAAATGAATTTCAATGTAATCAGCAAAGAGCACTGAACATATATACGTCCTATAATTTAAAGAAAATTGAATTTAATATTGCCTATTCTTATAGGGTATCAAAAAATCAAGATTTTCTTAACTATTTAAATTACTATTGCTTGTGTATTGCTTCAATATACTTCAAGTTGAAATATTTTAATATTTGTATGCTTGGCCAAATTCTGAAGTCCTGTAATTATCATAACTTTAAAAAATTCCCAGAGTTCTAGGAAAGAATTAGAGAATTTAATTTATGATCTCTAAAAATAAACTTGCGAAAGTGGACATGGAAAAGTTGCTAGCTTATAACACTTTAAAGGATATTTTCAGCCAATCTGAAGGAAGGCTGACATCAGTCATAAATGAAAGCAGTCTATTCAAGAGTTATTTCTTATCTTTACTCTCAAACACTGAAGTCATTATTTCAATTCTGTATAATAGAAACAAGAAAAGGTTTTTGAATCTTTTACAAAATTTATGCATGCTACTTCCTAAAAGTTTATGGAAGTAAAATGCAAGACAATTTTGTGTCCAAATCCCAGCAAATTAAATACAGCAATGTACCTTACACAGGCACAAACACATACAGCAATCCATGAATGAACTCTGTAAGCCTCTTCTACTGTCTCCTGAAGGTAGTTTAAAAATTTGCTGAGAATTCTTCCTACCAACTATTAGCAATATTCTGTTTTGCAGAGAAATTCTGGGAATTCAGGAAGAGGTGAAGTTCTGTTTTGTTAGTACTTCACTTTTAGTGGCAATTTTATGTAGGGGAATGAAATGAAAGCCTGCAATGTCAGTTTTATGAAGGAGGAAATAATGAGCCTCACATATCTGTACAATAAGGTTCCAAGGGAATAAGAATTATACAACAATATAACTGCACTATAATGATAATTAACAGCCAACATTTTTGTTCTAGGCCTACTTTAATTCTTTTTCTTCTTTCTACAATATTATCGTAATAAAAAAAGGAACCAGATAAAAAGGTTTATCTGCAAGGAAAGGGAGGAGATCTGCTTACAATTGGTAAGAAGGCAGGGAGGACTACTCTGTACAAGGAGCCATATCCTGACATTGAATCTGAGGTAAAAGTTCACACTACCTTCAGTGGGATCTTTGGCTTAAAAAGTGATAGGACAATATTGGCAATGGCTGTAAAGCTGCAATAACTTAGCAATGGTAATGTCTTAGCAATGCTTAGCATTCAGCATTCATTGGATGAGATCCTGGAAATGTAACTGAAGAAGAAACCCACAGAAGGAATGAAAATAAAATTTCTCAACAGTGAAATCTCTCTAATGGGATGAATAAAAAACCTTGCTAAATTCCTAAGAAACTTGGCAATGAATTTAACAGTTTAGCACAGAAAAATACAATTTTTATGAAGGCAGAGCAGTTTCTATTTAGATCTTTATCCTCTTCAACTTCTGGGTACCTCCCTCTGAACACTAAAGGACATATTCTCCACTCCCTCAAATTACAGGGAGCATAGACAGTCAACAAACTTTATCAGAGGATCTCATTGCAGACAGAAAGGGATAGGTTATATATTGTCATGTGGCCTCAAAGGACATGCTTTGATTGTGTGGGACAACATCCAAAGTAATTAAAATGATACATTATGTATCAGTTTTCAATCTAATAGTACTGCACTGGTAACAGAACGGGTATGGCAATGAGGTGTACAAGGCATAAAGGGAGACAGGAAAACAGTAGCATTCCAGTGGCATCAGGCTGGCAGGAAAATATAATGCGTACTTACAGATGGCCTAAAACACATTCTTTCTCCTGACTCCGGCCACCACTGAGGTCAGAAGATGCTGTCCTTTCAACTATTTCATTGAGAAATAAACTAAATATATGCAATCTATAGGGCCTGTACCTTTCGTTGACCACAAAAGTCTCTTGGAGTTGTCTGTCTGAAGAAGCTTAAAGAACATGGAGTGGAAATGTCTCAAACATTAAGCCTTGAGGGGAAAAAAATCCACCAAAAACACAACAACCAATAAACTAGAGTGGACTCAGATGCACCTGAAAATCTTTTCTGGCAGCCCAATGGGCCAGTTGCACCCTGATCAATCTCTGATCTCTGATCCTTTTGGGCCCTTTCCAACTCAAGGTACTGATTGTGATTCTGTGAACTCATAAAATCCACTATAATGAGTAAAAATAGCTACAAAAGATAAAACGTGATATACTACCAGACTTTAAGGAATTATACAAGATCCTATGGCTCTGGGCAGCCTGCTCTAGTGACTGGCAACCTTGCCCATGGCAGGGGGGTTGAAACTAGATGATCTTTGAGGTCCTTTTCAACCCAGGCCATTCTATGATTCCATGATCCTGGAAATGAAGTTAAGAATGGAAATTTGTGGATTTCTTTATAAGAGCTAGATCTATGGCAAACATTGGCAAAGGAAAACATGTTGGTTGTAAAGCTAAAGAAAAAACAAGTAATGTGTAAAGCACAAGCCCACAGAAAAATGGCCTTTAAACAAAAAGATCAAAACAGATAAAGGTTTAGTCAACAGAAGAGAGGAAAACTTGTGTACTTAAAAAATTATACCATAAAATAAAAGAACTGTTAAAACAACCAACATTTAATAAAAAATGTCTGTAAGAACTAGCATTTAAGACAGTTTTTTTGGCCAGTAATGGAAGATAAAACTAATGAGAATTATTAACCTTGAGATAGTAGAAGAAAAAATATGTTTAGAAGTGATAGAAAAATCAGCTAGTAAGTTCAGACAATTAAGCAATTTTAAGTTTCACAAGGTATCAGTTTAAAATGTAACAAATGGCACGTAACCAAGAAATTGCTCATCACAAAACTAAAATCCTGCCATGTGACCATGCAGGTACAAAAACATGTTAAAATACCTGGTATATCAAGACATATTTCTACAGAGATATATGGTGGAATCTTAATTGATATACTTAACTGCTCAGAGTAACTGCCTAACCTAAAAATACGCTGAATAAAAGCAAAGTTTTTACCATGTTCTCCTGGTGAATTGAAAACCAAAACAAAATGGAACAGCTGAAGCAGAAGAGTGAAATTGAAGTTGTCATATTTATTACTTCCCCTGGAAGCTTATGACTGATACCAAAAGAATACTGTAAAAATATTTCACAAGCCAGTGTATTTTTGCTATTCTGAAAGTTGTCTCAAAATGTAGCTGATTGTTTCTGAAGCAGGCTATACAGCTATCTCATGCACTCTTAGGTAGGGCTGCAGAAACAGATTTATGTGCATAGCAGCTTTTCTTTCTCCTTAAAAACTAAAAATACTATACAAATACTAACAATAATAAGAAAGGTCTAATCATGGCACAAAAAATGATAGCTCATTATAGACCTTTATAGACTTTCTGTCTTGTGTACACAAACAGCTTTCATCCATTTTTTCTTCCTTGCTATGTACTTCAGCAAACATATAACCTAATTTTTATGTAATAAAAGCTGCTAGACAGGGAGAAAGTGCATGAGACAAGTCAAGCAAAGACACAAAGCCTGAATTAGGTATGCAGAAGAAACATGAGGCAATGTAAGAATGACTCATTTATTGACATTTGAATATGTGAGCTTTTGTAATGAAAAATCTTGCTACTTTAAAAAGACTTAGCTATAATAGACATTATTTGGCAACCATAGTTGGTATAGTTCTGCTGAAATAAAATCAACAATAGAATTTTTATTTATTTATTTTTACAAGCAAGTCAGTAGGCAATTCCCACGGCAGAGACTTGACCTAATTCTTCAACACACAGTTCTCACTAGGATATAGAAAGGCTGTCATTCTGATGGATTTAGATATATAATGATCCCTTTTAAAATTAAGAAGTAGAGCAGTATGAAATCACAAATCAATACAGTAAGAGACCACCAATTTGACTTTTTAAGTAACTGAATGTGTGATTGTAGTAAACTCCTGCAGTCTGAAATAACCAAAAAGCATTGGTCACCTGCCAAATACTGCTTTTAGGATCACAGAATCACAGAATGGCTTGGGTTGGAAGGGATCCCAAGGATCATCGAGTTCCAACCTCCCTGCCACATGCAAGAACCTCCAGATCTGGTACTAGACCAGACTGCCGAGGGCCCCATCCAA